CCTAAATATTTTTTAATTTTATTGATTTTAGTACCAATTTTTCCTAATCCTGAGGTAGATTTAGAATCACAAATTGCAAGTATGGACCACTTTGTGCCTGCATTTAGAGTAATCGATTCAAAAAATGGTTCAAATGGTTTCATGTTAATCGACGGAAAAGGAGAATCACAAAATCTAAGTCAGCAAGTTACTGTGACTGCTGGTCTTTTTGACATAATGTCTTCTAATTCATACATTGATCATCCCCTATGTGAAGAATGTTCAGAATCTTTGTTAGATTTAATGGATCAGCAACTTAAACTTACTGAAGAAGAATTAAACGATTATAGTAATTTTTTAAGAAAAATAGAAAACGAAGATGATTTCGATAATATCGAGGATTTAGAAAGAGAATTAGAAAATGTAAGCCCATAAGTTTACTTTAATTATTCTACATTAAAACAAATCCCAATTTATTTACATTATTCAATTAATAGTTTCGAATAAATGTATAGTAAAAGAAATTTTTTTCAAATCGATTGTGCTAATACAATAATGTAATGATTAAATTTTAGTTAAAAAACGAAGAAGAAACATTAATAGGAGAATTAAAAACGCTGCAAGAGAAAGAAAAAAAAGCCAAAGAACTTTTAGAAAGAGAAGAACAAGAAAAAGAAAGATTGGATAGGGAAGAAGAAAAATATTGGAGAGAATATTCTCATCATAGAAGAGATCTCATGGTTGCAGAAGATGAATCGAAAAGTTTAGAATGTCAACTAGCATACACACAATCTCAATTAGAAAAATTAAAAAAAACAAATGTATTTAATGCAACTTTTCACATTTGGCACAGCGGAGGTCACTTTGGAACAATCAATAATTTTAGGTTAGGAAGATTACCAAGTGCTCCAGTTGATTGGAGCGAAATAAATGCTGCTTGGGGTCAAACAGCTTTACTACTCAGTGCCTTGGCTAGAAAAATTAATTTAACTTTTCAAAGGTATAAGGTTGTGCCTTTTGGAAATCATTCATACATAGAAGTTTTAGAAGATCACAAAGAACTGCCTTTGTATGGTTCAGGAGGAATCAGGTTAGATTTTTATTTGCTTTGAAACAAATTACAATTTATCGAATTAAAATTCCAATTAAATTTATTTTTTGATATCTTGTTTTCAGGTACTTATGGGACAGCAAATTTGATGCTGCCATGGTAGCTTTTCTAGATTGTTTGCAACAATTTAAAAATGAAATGGAAAAGGGAAATTCAGAATTTTGTTTACCATATAAAATGGATAAGGGGAAAATTGAAGATTCTGCTACTGGAATTTCATTTTCTATAAAGTAAATTTTTTTAAAATTTAAATTATTCGAAAAGAATTTTATATAAAAAATTATTATTATTATTATTATTATTATTTTCAGAACGCATTTCAATTCGGAAGAACAATGGACGAAAGCATTAAAGTTTTTATTGACAAATTTAAAATGGGCATTAGCTTGGGTATTTTCACAATTTACAAGAAATGAAATCGATTCTGGTAATTAATACCAGCAAACAAACAAACAAACAAACAAAAACTTTTCCTTAATTAAAACAAATTCTAGCTTTAATTTTTTTTTATAATAATAATAATAATAATAATAATAATAATAATTGTTGCTTTATCAAACAAATAAATAAAAATAATGATAATCAAATATATAAAAAAAAAAAGAATTGTATAAAATACATAAGAGTACAATTTAATAATAATTTTAATTAATTAATTAAATGTATATATATAAATAAATAAATAAAATGATTAAGTATTGTATTATTATTATTATTTTTATATATATTAAATAAGATTTGTTGAATCGTAAAAGCAGAAGCAACTGCACTTTAAAAAAAAGTGCATTTTATAAAAAAAAAAAAAACAAATGTCACGGTCTTAAAAAATTATTATTTATCCATTAATTGTTTTATATTTAATAATAATAATAATAATAATAATAAAAATGGCGGAGAAATTTTTTCGGTTAATTTTAATATTTATTTATTTTAGTTATCGAATTCATAAATTTTCATTCATAAAATGAAAAAGAAAGAAGAAAGAGAAAAAAGTAGGTTGAATAAAAACCGTTGTAGTAGTCAACGTATTTTGGTAGAGGGGAAGGGAGGGGCGGAGAAAAGAGGAGGGGAGGAGTCTCCCCTCTCTCTCTCTCCCTCTAGGTTTGTTAAGTGTAGAGGTCGCATTTGCAGGTGATTCGTTTTGTGTGAACACCTGAAATTTCTGGATCCTAAAGGAGTAGAGTCGTCCGGTTCGTTTTGATCTCACTCGTCTCAGTTCTTTCTCGAATTTATTCTTGGCGGGATTTGTTTTTTTTTTTTTTTTTTTTTAAATAATAATAATAATAATAATAATAATAATAATTTTTTTTTTTTTATACATTTTATCATTATTATTATCGTTAAAGTTTTCGTGTTTGACGTTTTTTTTTTTTATTTATTAAAAATAATATATTTATTTATATATGGAGAAATGATTTTTTTTTCTAACGTCTAAAGGTAAGTTTTTTATCATTATTTTTACCCCCCCCCCACCTACCCCCCAAAATTTTTTAAATAATAATAATAATAATCGTTATTTTCTTAAAATCGATAATCGATTTTAAATTTTTTTTTCGATAAAAAAAGGTGAAGTTTATTAATATATATATTTAAAATTCGTCATTAAAAGATAATTCCAAGAATAATAATAATAATAATAATTATTATTATTATTAGTCATTTTAGAGTTTTCATAGGTTAAAGGTCACACATTAAAAATCGGTTACAAATATCTTTTCGGTAATAAAAAAAAAATGTCACTCATTTTAAAAAATACTTTTTTTTTTTTTCAAAGAAAATATCGAGTCATTGTTTTAAATTTTATTATTATTATTATTTAAAAAATTTTGGGGAATAATAATAATAATAATAATAATAATAATAATAATAATAATAATATAAACAATAAGGTTAGTAAATAAAATATTTTTAACGGTTAAAAAAAAAAGTAAAAAGGTATTTATGTCTACCGGAGTCTAATAATGTACAAAGATGAAGGTCTTCCATATAGAAGGGCGTGACGTGGGAATCAAGTTTGTTAATAGTTCCGGCATCTCAACCTCTTATCGTACCTACAATACTCTCTCATGTACCTTTGAAATCTCTCTCTCTCTCTCTCTCTTTCTCTCTCTTTCTTAAATTCGTGAGGTTTGGTTTGGTTTAACAAAAAAAAAAAAAAAAAAAAAAAAAAACGCCCACGATTTTGACTTATCGTGTTTGACTTTTAATTAAATATTTTTATAGGAAAAAAAGTAATTAATTTATTGCAACCTAATTTCAATGATTTTTATCTTTATTGCCCCCCCCCCTGCCTCCCCTCCCCCTCCCCCTCGAAAAAATAAATTTTGAAAGGAGCACGAACGTTATAATAATAATAATAATTGTTTGAGTTATGATTTCAAATGTATTTTATGTTAAAATTAATGGAAATTTTTGTTGGGAGAAAGAAAAATGGGGATCCTACTAGTAACCCCCCCGAAGATAGAAAACTCTGTGTGGGAGGGCAGGGGGTAGGGGGAGGTATCACGATATTCAAACGGAAAAATTTAAAAAAAATAAAAAAAAATTCATCGAATTGAAAACTCTTTGAGAATTTTTATTAAAAAAAAAAAATATGAGATTTAATTCCATCCCCCCAATCCTGGCTCTCCCTTCCTACCCCCCACCCACACACACACGCGGTAACCCCCCCCCCCAAAATATTAAGAACAACTTTGAGGGACCAAAATTGTATGGATCACACACTATATCAAAACTTAAAAATTTTTTTTCGTTTATTACTTTTTTTTTTATGACCGTGACCGTGAGAAAAAAAAATCTTTTTTTGTTTCATTATTATTATTATTATCATCCCTTTTAAATATTTGTCAAGATCCCCACCCTTGTGGACAAAAAAAAAAAAAAAAAAAAAAAAAATTGATTCGGTTAATTTATTGATGAAATGAATGATTTTGTGTTTTTAAAATATTGGAAAAGTGAGAGAAAATTTTTATTTTTTTTTTTTTTTAGTTTTGGGGGGAACCCGCGTGAGGTTAACGGTTAAAAAGTAAAATAACGTAGTTTTACCAGTGCAAATAATAATAATAATAATGATAATGATGATAATAAAACCGATAAAATTTTGCAAATAGAAAAAAAAAAAAGAAATTACCTTTCATTTTCATTCAAAAAAAAAAAAAAACTTTCCAAACAAATCAATGCCATTAAATTTTTTTTTCTTTTTTTTTTTTTACATTATACCTTAGACAAATTTTTTTCAATAATAATACTAATAATGATAATGATAATGATAATAATAATAATAATAATGCGGCAAAACGTTCCTCGAGGCTTATAAAAAAAATTTTAACGGAACTTTATTTTTTTTTTTTTTATATTTTTCGGCGGGGGGAGGGAGAAGGAGAGGCTAGAAAATCCGGATAACCGTTTTTGTTTTTTTCCCCTCTCTCTCTCTCTCTCTCTCTCTCTCTCTCTTTAAAGATTTAATACGAAAATATTGCGTAGGATTTTTTATAAATTTAAAATTTTTAAGTAAAATCATCTTTTTTCCACAAAAACGAATTCGTTTGTTTTTTTTTTTTTTGGTAAATTATATATATATATATATATAAGAAAACAAGATGAAACGAATTTTTTTTTTTTTTTTTTAAATTTGCCTCAAACGTATTTTTCGATTGCCTAACGGTTTTTTTTCTTTTTTTTTTGTTTAAATTTACACTTAATACCAAAACTTTTTTTTTTTTATATTTATTGCTGCGTAATATAATTTTGTGTGGCAAAATTTTAAATTGTTTTATTATCATTATCAATACTTTTGTTACCGCGTCGTGAGGGGTGTGGGTGGGGAGGGGAAATAAACGAGGAGATGATTAATTAATTAATTAGTAACCTTATTTGGTTTTTAAAAGGGTTGAATACGTTTCAATGGGGGTTTTTATTTAAAAAATTATTATTATTATTATTACTTTCGAATGTAGTAATAATAATAATAATAATAAAGGTTTAATAACTTTATTTAATATCGTTAACATAAATATAAAAATTTTTTTTTCACGATAACACGAGATTGTATGTAACGTATTTATTTTTATCAAGAAATGTTAAAAACTCTCTCTCTCTCTCTCTCTCTCTCTCTTTCTTCCCCCCCCTCTCTCTCTCTCCATTTTAAATTGTTATTACTTTGTTTAATAACAAATAATCTGGTTGATAATCTACTGATAAGAAACAAAACAAATTTCGATTTGAGAGTCATGGGTTAATGGGATTTCACGGTGCTGGAAAACTCCAGGATTTTCTTATCCGGTTTACTTAAAACGTGAAAAATTGAGGTCTTACAAAAAAAAACAATGAAGTTGTTACGCTGGGGAGGTGAGGGGAGAGGAGGAAAGGGGGGCAGAAAGAAAGAAAGAAAGAAAGAAAGAAGATATGTAATTATAGGACGAATGGAATTATTTTAAATTTAACCAATTGGAAATTCAATGAAAATCCATTTTAATAATAATAATAATAGTTTATTAAATTATGATATTCGAACGAAAGAAGGAAGGGGAGAGAAGGGGAGGGGGTGAGAGAGGTGTTGAGAGAGAGAGAGAGAGAGAGGAAATAATGATATGAAAGAAAAAAAAAGAAATAAATTTCTTAAAACGTTTGAAATTCTAACGCAAAATTTACTCGAAATTATTATTATTATTATTATTATTATTATTATCATTATTATTATTATTATTATTTATTTAAAATAATAAAACAAGCAAATTTTTTTTTTTTTTTTTGACAAAATGATGCGTGTGTCCGGTGGTGGTCGATAAAACTAGATAAAAGAGAGGCGGCGGCGGCGGCGGCCTATACCTGTTCTAACGGTCCAGTCTGTGGTACACGACCTCACTACGCCATCCACTTTCAACGCGACCACCTTTTTTTATTAATTTATTATTATTATTATTATTATTATTATTAATATATATATATTTTATCCGTTAATATAAAAAAATTTTTTAAGGTTAAGATCAAAACAAAAAAAACAGCATCTTCTTTCTTTCTCATCTCACAAAACACACAAATGCAACTATTAATAATAATAATAATAAAGATGTGCTTTTTATCATTATCATTATCATTATTATTATTATTAATAATAAGATTTGTTATCGTAACCTACTTGATACTTACTTGGTATGGTTGACTACCCATACAGAAAGAAGTTTATTATAAAATCATGTTTTACCCGAATAAAATAATAATAATAATAATAATAATAATAATAATAAAAACACGGACAAGATCTTGTTTTTCTTTCCTTTTTCTTTTTCTTTCTCTTTCTTTCTCTTGCACCTTACAAGCTCATTGAAAAACTTTTTTAAAGTGTCAACAAGTTGTTCAGGTGCTGGAATTTTTAATATTTTTATTTTTTTATTTTTTTTTACCACTTAATTTTCTCATATTTCTTTCAAACGACATTTTATTTGTGCCCCCCTTTTTTCTTTTCGTATGTCATTAAGCGAATAATGACTGTAATAAAAGTTATCATCATTATTATTATGTTTTTTTTTTAACAGTTAAAATTAGTCGAGGAAGCGAAACGTTTATTAATATTATTATTATTATTATTATAGTTTAATTTAATTTATGCGAATGTTTTTTTTGTTTTTTTACTTTTAAATAAATAAATAAAAACAATTCGAATTATAATAAATAAATAACGGTAAAGTTATTAATAAATAAATAAATAATTATTTAAAGTTAAATAAATAATTAGTTTTGTTAAAATCAAAAAAAAATTCAAACGTAAATGCGTAGTAAAATGGTTGGTAGTAAAATGGCGACGAAGTGGCACTAGAAAGGTTTGTTTGTTTATTTATTTGTTTGTTTGTTTGTTTCGAGACGAGGGAAAGTTTTTGCGGTTTACTTTTTAATAAAAAAAACATGACATTACATGTAATAATAAGGTTAAAATTGCAAAAAAAAAAAAAAAAAAGGAAAACGCGTTATCCTTGAATTATCATTATTATTATTTATTTTTTTGACGTTGAAAAAATTTATGGCGCCCGATTGAAGAACGAACGGACGGGCGGACGGACGGATGGGCGGCCATTTTTAATTTTTTTTCCGTTACAAAAAAATGTTTTTTTTTTTTTATAAAAATTAATATAAATATTTATAATCGTTATTTAATTAAAACTAGTTAAGGTCGAATAATTATAATAATAATAATAATTAAATAATTTTATTAATTACGTAATTTTTTAATGAGAGAGGTAGGGAGAGAGAGAGAAAAAAACTTTTTTTTTCATTTAAACCGTTTAATTGTAAAATCGAGAAACCGGAAATGACGTAATTTTTTGTTTAAATATAAAGATTCGAATTCTTTGAGCGACGGTTATTTTTCTCATCGTTATTTAATATATGAATATAAAAAAAAAAATGGCGGATAACTGAAATTTAATTTCGAATGTGTAATAATAATAATAATAATTGAAAAAGACATAACACATAACAAAAGGATTTCGAATGATAATAATAATAATAATAAACACAAACAAAGAAGATTTTAATTAAAAAGAAAGAAAAAAAATTTTTTTTTTTTACGACATTAAAAATGAGTTAAAAAGTTTCTCGGTCGGTTTTGTGTTTGTAAAATAGGTTTTAGGTCAGGTACAGAACCGTTTCTGATTAATAAAAAAAAAAAAGTTTAATTTTAAACTTAGTCGACTCAGAAAATTAAATAAATAATAATAATAATAA